GTATGGTTTCATCTATTGAAGAGTTGAAATTAAAAGAAGTTGCAAATAAATACAACAATGAGATGCTCGGACAGGAGTTTTTCTATATTGAAATACAGGTTTTAAATTTAAGTAAATCCTGCACTAAATAAATCCTACATTCGAAAATTAAAGAAAAGTAACCTCGAAAGTCGAAAATCGAAAAAATAAAACCTGGAAAATTTATAAAGTTATTTGGTGTGTATGTTAGGGCTCAGTTGGCCTTTAAGATGGGAAGCTTATTGTTAAAGGAAAAAATATTAAAAAGTCTGGATCCAGGGCCTGTGGTTTTGGAGCCGATCATAGATCTCCAGGATTTGGAGAGTTATAGAAATTAAGTGGATATCGTGTGATATGCGGTATAAAGGAATTTCCGATAATCAAAATGAAAATGAGCCTAACTTATTTTTATCTTTATCACAGGGTTGTCTTTTTACCCTATTTATAGGGGATTTTCCCTATTTTTGATCTTTTCGCCCTATTTTTTCCCTATTTTTAACTTTTGCCATATTTTGCCCTATTTTTAACATTTTGGAATATTTTTTAATTTTCTTGGATTTTGTATATAAAATGTGAAAAATCAAAGAAATCTGACTCTTGGACATCAAAATTCCCAAAATTTTCGCCTGCGGCGCTGAAAAAAAGAGAAATCTCTCCTATTGGTCTTCTTAATTTTTCAAAATTTTCGCCATTGGCGCTAAATAAGGAAGAAATCTGGCTTCTTAACCTTTTAAAATTGTCAAAATTTTGCAAAAATGGAAGAAATCTGACCTCATGAAAATCCAAAATTTGAAAAAATTTCGCCTGCGGCGCTGAAAAAGAGAATAAAGATCTATTATGAAAGGTAGACGAGAGAAAGCAAACGGTGTTCGACTTTCAATTTCAAAGATTTTTGAAACTATTTTCAATTTCGATATTCGTGTCTTATCGATTTACAATTTTCAAAATATGTTTATTTAGAAACAGATTCATCCTGATCTGCTCAATTTAGATAAAACTTCTGGAGGACATGAGGAATAAAGCTTTTTATTTAAAATTATAATTATTTTGATGTTTTTAAAATAATTCCCTATTTTTTGCCTTATTTTTGACCGATTTCGCCCTATTTTGGCCCTATTTTTGAGTGGCTGCGCCCTATTTTAGTGTTTTGGAAAAGACAACCCTGCTTTATCATATTATTTTTATATTATTTATATCATAATTTAACTCGTAAAATAAAACATATTTATAATGAATTGCAAAAGACAGAACCGAGAGTATTTTTAATTAAAATTAATTTCAAATAATCAAAAATAATTTTTAGAAACTATGGAATAAGGCAAAGAAAAATCTTTTCCGTTACAATGATGATAATTTGATAGTAATTGATCATAGAATCTTAATTTCATTTATAGCAAGAAAAGTGTTATTTTTCCTTGAATTAATTGAAAGTTGAGATTTGGATAAAAATTTTAAAACAAAATTTTTCAAAGGTATTTTTGTCTTTTAAAAAACAGGCGTTAGGATTAGGTAGAAAAATCAATAAAATTTCAAAATTTACCTAAAAATTTCAATTTCAAGGGATTTTTTTTATTGTTTGTTTTAATTAATTTTTTAAGATTACAAAAATAAAAAGCCAAAGTTGTTAGATAGATTAGAAAAAATATTTGCGTCAAAATCAACAATTGATGAATATATAAAAAAGGAAATTCAAAAAGAAAAAGCGGAAAGAAGACAATTGAAGTTAAAAATAGAAAAAGGAGTAAATAACAAATATTGTAAGGATAATTATATAAAATAAGATATATTAGGATGGCCTCTCCAAGACGATAGGCTAGGAGATGCCCGCTTCTACAAATATCGATGAAGTTGACCCGAAACGAGGGAAGTTAACAAGAATATGGGTGAAGTTGTTCCGAACACGGGGAAAGGGAAGTTGACCCGTAAATAGGGAAGCTGACCCGAGCATGGAGGAAGTAGACTCAATGGAAGTTGTTCAGAGTAGTTTCAGCAAATGTGGAAGTTCTAGAGGATTTAGAACGATATCAATGGATTTGAATGCATTAGAGGATATCAGAGGATTTTCAGAAATACCAAAGGATTTGGAGGGATATCTGAGAAATAATTTCACATTTATATTTAAAATTTAAAATTTTCATTATTTAGCTGAAATGAAGGAGATTGAAAAGATTTTAAATGAAATAAAATTGTTAGATAAAGGAAAGAAAAATAAATCTATTAAAAATAGAAATTCATCCAAAAATAATAAAAATAAACAAAATAAAACTGAGCAAATATTTAAAGGCAAAAATAAAATAATTGAAGAAACTGAAGAGGAAAATAATAAAAATATATTTGACGAAGATAAAAAGCTGGAAGAAATTAAATATATTTTAAATTTAGAAGGAGTGGTTGAAAAAATAATGAGGGAGAAGAATACTTCATTTAAAAATGATGAAGAGATAGAAGAAGATTGGAAGATAAATTTGGGTAGGAATGAAATGAAACGAAGAAGAATAAAAGAAAAGGAAGAGAAGAGGAATAAACAAGAAGAAAAACAAAAAATATCAGAGGAAGAGGACGAAGATGATGAAGAATTTAATGTTTTTCCAATAGATCATGCTTGGAATAATCATTTAAAGTTAGATCATCGTGAATATTTTTTTGAAGGAAAGAGGGGAAAAAATAAATTAAATTTTGAGGAAAAAGAATTAAAAATTGAGGATGGCAAGAAAAATGAGGTTTTCGAGGATGAGGAAGTAAAAATTGATGAGGGGAAGCAAAAGGAGATTTTCAAGGATGAAGAAGTAAAAAATGATTTAACACCATTTTATCCAAAAATTTTTTTGAATACTAAAAAATTAGACGAATTATATATTAAATTAAATAATTCAAATAAGCAAGATAAGGAAAGAATACTTGAATTGTTAAATGTTGGAGTTTTTGTTGAAGAAATCAAAAATAGAATTGAATACATTGAAAAAATAAAACTGAAATCTATAACTTCAATTAGTATAGGAAGTGTTGAAGGTAATAGTATATTTTGAGAGATAATATATTCCTTTGATTAAATATTAAAAAGTTTTATTTCATGGCACTGAAAAAAGATAAGGGCCTGTGCCGTTGCTCATTTCGTCTCGCTTTTGCTGAATTTCGCCTTTGGTATTTAGCCTTTGCTTTTTGATATTCGCTTTTTAAAATTTTCTAGGTTAAAATTTTTTAAATTTTTTTAAAGTTTTAAAAAAAATAGCATAAATATAAGGATATTATTGAAGATATCAGGGGTGACGCTAGTTCACTAAAATACGAGACACGAGATTCGGGAGATACGAGATCGTTCAAAAAATACGAGATTTCACGAGATCGAGGCTAACTCCACCACTGGTGTTTTCCTTTCTGATGCAGTATACATAAGTAATTTTATTTTTAGTTCAAATTGATAACAAAAATTCTTATGGATTTAATTCATTAGAATCATTTGATAAATTAGAGCAAGAATTTGACAAAATATTAGATGAAAATTTCATTCTCGGAAATAAAAATAATTTGGAAAATAAATTGCTTAATTTGTTAAGAGAATTTACAATAATTACTGATGAATGGATTATGATAAAAAGTGAGAATGAAGGAGATATTAATTATAATGATATGATTCCTGTAAAAAGCATGCTTCATCGACATAGGTTTGTAGAGGTTTTATAGAGCTATTTGGAGGATTTTAGCTTGTAATTAATTATATTAAAAATAATTAAATTCAAGCTTAAAAAGAAAGATATAGCTTTCTTCTAGACCATTAAAAATAAATTCAAGTTTGTATGATCGGGTTGCATACCTATAACTTCAGAAACTCCGTCTCTTAACATATTTTTTTAAATTAACTTTATTTTTTATCCAGTAAGGTTGTCCGATAGTTGCATATCGCCGTATATCCGGATCCAAAATCCGAACCGAAAATTTCCGGATATCCGGCCTTTTTCGGATCCGGAAATCCGCATCTAACAAACTTAATACTGAGTCCAGTAGATTTTTTAATCCTCCCTTTTTAACCTTCCCTTAGTAATACATAGAGCGGGAAGTAGTTGAGGAATCTAAACAATTTTAAAATTAAGATTGGCCAGTTCGATTATAAATCAAAAATTGAATAAAATAAACAGTATTTATCAAAAAAATATTTTGGTATCACTACTGGGTAATATTAGTGGCCATGAATTTGAAGTATTTTTACAAAATTATAAATTGAAATTAAAACAAAAACTGTTAACATGTGAGTATAGTATATTACTGTATTTATTCGGTTAATTATTTATCCTCAAATAATAATTATCTCCCTAATAAGGAGTTCTAAAAATAATTTCCTTGAAAAATTCCTATAATTAACCTTTCAAAAACTCAAATAATTATACGCTTTTACGGAGATTACCCAAAAATAATTATATGATTAAATACGGTAATATATTTTTAAATAAAATTTTCAAAAAAATTATTCAAGATGAACATTTTGTAATGGAATTTAAAACATTTGTAGAATTACCAATTAGTTTTGATCAGAAAAATATTGCCGAAAGTTCTGTAAGTTTATTTCATTTATAATACTCTGCCTAGATTGCCTCACTCGAATATTTTTCTCTCCTTCGAATAATCTCTACATTGAAAGATTGAAATACATATATTAATTAACCATAACTTCGTTCAAAATTGTAGAATTCGGGATTCAATGCGGCACAACGAGGTGAATCAAACTATTCTAGTGCCTCCCGGATTCGACAATTTTGAACGAAGTTATAATTTGGCTCGCGGTAAATCGAGGTGTACCCACGTTATTCATTTGTGTATTTTTTCGTTGATTGAGTAGGTTAAAGGAATAAAGTCGGCTACTAAAGTCGGTATCAATAAAATCGTCTCATTACGTGGTAGCTAATTATAACTAATTTTAAATTTAAGCTTGCCCAAGTAATCAAGGAAAAGTTTGAAATTAACTCTGAATCGGATTCATATAATTCTGCTATGAATTATTTAAAGTCAATTATTTCTGAATGGGCCAAAGATGTTTATGATTGTATAGACATTGAATTTTTGTTGAGTGGCTCGAAATTATTAAATACAGATATTGTTGAATCTGATGTTGACGGAATTGTTGTTTTAAATAAAAACAAAGACGATGGTTGTAAAGTAAATGAATTAAATCAGTTTATTGGTAATACAAACATTGATGAATGTAAAAATCTTGAAAAAATTGAACTTTTGGAAATATCTCTTTTTTGTTCTCTATACAATGTAAATAAATTAAACTTTTTTTTGTTTTAGTCCCCTAGACATTTATTTCATAGCCATATTGAATTCTAAAATATGAGAATTAATATAGATTGTGCTATAATACATAGAGACTTAATTTCGAAACATTCCCAATTAGGGTTGCTAAAATGGACCTAAGATATTTGGCCAGAAATAGTCGAACCGACTCAAACCGTCGGGCCAACTTGAAAACGGCAACTCTATACACAAAGGAGGGGGCTCACTCTTTATTAATAAAAGATTTATAATGTGGGCTATATTTTTCACCATCGCCAAAAAGAAACTTCATTAGAAAGGGTGTCAACCATCTAAAATCAGAGGTGACTTAAAACAGAAAAACGATGATCTTCTATTTTTTTAATAATTAAATATTTAAATAAAATTAACTTATTTAGGAAGCACCGATTCATCAGCTTCGTAAAAACACTCACACGCGTATTAAAATAATCGAATTTATTTTATTTAAAATTAAATTTGATATATCATTTGTTATATTAAAAGATATAATATCAATAAAATTAAATAAATTTATTCAACAAAATAATTTTGAAATTGAAAAAATAATTGAAAAATTGGAAGAATTACAAGATTTAGAAATTAATGAAAATAAAATTAAAGAAATACATGGAGAAATATTAACATTAGCTTCATATAATTCAAATAAAATTATTAAAAATATTATTGATAAAGGTGGAAATCTGAATAAGTTCATATTTCTAACAAAAATTTTGAAATTGTGGGCTAAAAGTAAATTTTTAAAATGAATTTAATTTGATAGGTATCCGTGATGGGACGGGTTGAGAATAATGTCGGTCGGGGTCTTGAAAATTTATCTTTTCGTGTTTAGGGTATTGGATAGATAAAAGAACAGGTTAGGGTAACACATCCCTTCACTGGTTTGTATATCCGCTTCCAAGGATCGTATCTTTTCATCAACATGTCTCACCTTTTCCACCACTTATTCGCAATCTGAATATGTGGATACAAAAAGTGCTGATATCCGGTAATTAAGGATCATATCCAAATATCCGGGGATTTATCAGTCCCCCTACCTTTTAACCCAGGCATAAGGAAACTAAAATTTAATACCCGTCCTACTCAATAAAGTTAGCTTATCAATTATTCTAGAAATATTATTTCATTATACATACCTACAAATTACTAATTATGTATATTTTATTTAGGAAGATTAAACAAAAAAATTTCAGATCATTTTATTTATAATAATCAATTTGGTTTTCTAAATGGAGCAACTTTGAATTTGCTTATTCTTAAGATTGTTCTACTTTATTTTGATTCATCCCAAATTTATTTGTTACAAAAATTTTTGGAAACATTTAGTGAATGGTTAATAATTTTTAAGTAAATAAAATATTTAATTTTTTAGGGATTGGAAATTTCCAGTCAAATTAGAAGAATTAAGTCAAAAATCGCAGAGTTGGAATGAAGAGTCAGAAATTAATTTTAGAAAGAACCAATATCTTTCAAAATATATTAATTATAGTAATGAAGAAAGAATTAGATTAGAAAAACATACTAATCCAATAATGGTTGTGTTAACACTTGGTTATCCAGAACAGAATTGTTCATATAATGTTAATTATTCTACGAGAAAAATAATTTTAAAAGAATTTGAGAATGGTTATTTATTTTAACAAAATATGTATTATTTTATTAGTTTATGTAGTAAGATTTCGCGAAATTATGGCCGTCGGACATAAAACAAGCATTTAAGTCCAGGCACTCTCTACTCTGCCAGCGTATCAATGAGAGTAGGGTTGTCAGTTCAGGACCGAACCGAAGAAAAATTGGATTTTTCAGCTTGGTTTGGAACCGACAACCCTAAATTATGGTCTTCATTTTCTTTTATATAATTTAAAATAGAAACTAAGATCTCAAACAAAAATCTCGGTTATCGAAATAGATATGCTTCGAGATAACGATCCTCCATGTTGCTCTTAAATACTCGCTGATTTTTTAATTTATCATTAGCTGGATCTTACATTCGTTATTTTAAGTAAAGCATTTCATAATTTGAAAGACACATCGTTAGAGTCAATAAATATAGAATAATGTATTTATAAAAATAATTTATTATTTAATTCTAACTTTTAGGAAATATTATAGTTAAAAATATTAAAAATAATAATAGAGAAAATGAAGCAATTGTAAAAGCTTGGAATGATTGGTTAAGTGGTACTAGTTTTTTGATAAAGGTAAAAAATAAGATTTAAATTATTTTAAAATAATAACTAAATTTAAGTATAAACATTTTTTGCTCATTTTATGTCTTGATGAAGATTTATTAAACAAAAAAGAAAATCTGTTTGAAGAAAGCGAAAATTATTGTCGTTTTATTGAGAGTCGAATCCGTTTAGAATTAATTTTTACGGTTGAAGAAAATCAAGAACAAATAAAATATACTCATGCAACTAGTCATGAAACATGTTTGCCAAAGGAAATTAAAGAAAAATATAGGTAAATAGATATAAATAAGGCGGAGATAGGATTGAGAATTACGTAATAACTTTGCCATCAACCCAGCTTATCCACATGCATACTAAATGAAATAACACAAGTTACCGAAACCCGGAATTTTTTCGACATGAAACCTGTCCATCTTTTTCTCAAACAATGACATCGCTGGAGAGAAAAGTCACTCTTATAGTTATTGAACGATCGGAGGAATTGGTGTACTATGTAGATCACGTAAAGAAGTGAGCGGTGACTAACACATAATCTATTATTATTCAATTCTTCATCCTCTTATTCTTGCCTAATGGATTCGGCTCTAAGCCAATAGCTAAATCTGGATATAGACTTTCCTTCCTGATTTAAAAATTTAATTTTTTCATTTTTAGTGGACATTATATCCAACATTGGTGGGTTGGAATTGAAGCAAATAAATTTATAAAACAAATAGAATTTAATAAAAATAATGGAAATATTTTAAATAAATTTGTTCATAATATTAAAATCAAAACACCTTCTGTTTTATTAAATAAAACTAGAAACGTAGAAGTTATTTATTTGGAAGGAGATAGTAAAGAATTAAAAGAATGTTTAAATAAATAATTTAACTATTTTTTTATTTTTTATTAATTTAAAATTTTAATCATTGTAGCCTCGAACGGGATATGGATTTCTATGGGAGAGCATGTCGGGTTTCGGAGGAAGGGTACAGCTCGATGTTCGTCGGGGTCCTGCTATTTAATTTTATTATTCAATAATCTTTAGAGAATTAATTTACAATATAATAGCATAAATATTTTGTAATTAAATTTATCAAGTCGGGCCTAATATCGTAGGCCCTACGTGATCTTTCGGTCCTACTCTGAAGTATATGAGGATATGGACGAATTAGGGAGATTTCTGGGGATACCATTAGATATAAGAAGGTTTTTAGGTGATATTCATTCAAATCACACAGGATTATCCCCACCTGATATTAGCAAACATGTGAACATTTTTCATTAAGCATTCCCCTCCTATAATTTCACCCCTCCCACCTTCCCCAATATTTGTCCAAATAGTTGAACAACAAATGATTGAGTTCAGATATGTTCTTCAAATTTAATCCTTTATTCCAATAATTTCACATATCCTCAATTTTAATCTTCTACTATTCCATTTTTTTAATAAACAATAAATTCATGTAATTTTTAAATTTAATAAATGGTTTTTTAATCTAATTTTTTTTATAAAATCTAAATTATTTTTCCCCTATTAGTGAACCTCATTATGAGATATTTTTCATCCTTAAGTTTATCTTAAAAATATCCCTTGTTCAATAATAGTATTTTACATTGGATATCTAAATTAAGGATTAAAATGGCAAGATTATATTTTAGAGATAGGGTGTTGTTTATTCAAAAATCTTAGTGAATAATAATTCCTATACTAGTACAGTTATGATTCCATTTTTATACCTTTATTATACTGAGTTAACTCTAGATTAAAAATAATTATTTCAGTTCTGACTTTAAGAATATGTTAAAGAATATGGACGGATTAAAGATACATGTAAAAATATAAATTCGCATTTATGAACATAAGTTAGATAGATACACTTAAAAAATTATGTTTCCATATTTAAACATTTCATTTATGATACCATTTATCTAAAAAATATGTGCAAATTTTTGTCAAAGTTTATGCGTGCATTCAAATACAAAAAAGGAATGTCTTCAAAGCCTATTAATAAAAGCAAAATATTTAATAAAATCTTGATATTTTTGTTTTTTTAAAGAAATGTTTTGGCATTAAAAACTTTTTTATATTATTTGTTTAAAAATGTTTTTTATCTTAATTAAAAAATCAAATGGCAGGAAATTCTTTAAAAATGCAAAAATAATATATTTTTACCTTTATTTTTATTTTTTAGCAAAAAAATTTTCTTTCAGAAAAAGTAGATACATTTTTATTTTAATAATTTTTATTAGCACAAGTAAACTAAGGCACTTTAGGTGTGAAATATAATTTTAGGTGAATAGAGCTTTCTATTCTCATTTATTTCATGGTACTAAAATTCGAACTACTTATCGGGAAAAAGAGGTGATTCTTCTAGGTATAATTATGAAGCTGACCCTAATCGTCTAAATTTAAATATTTTGTTAAAAATTTAACTAATTATTTAATTTTTAATATTAAATAATTTGTTCTTATTATACATAGTAATAGTCAAATAAATCATTTATCTTTTTTAATCAAAGGAAAAGGTTTTCAAAAAAAATTTAAAAATGAATGAAACTAATACAACATTAAAATTACCTGTAAATTTATTATAATTAAAAATTGAAAACAAAATTTTTTATAAGGAATATTTATGGCTTATCCATCTTCGGGCTTTCAGTTTGCGATTTTTCTTCCGGCATTTTTTCTAGGCTTAATTTCTTTATTTGGAATTTCAATGAATTCAAGTGTTTGTTATATAGTTGTGAAATATTGGTAATTTTAATAAATTTTTTGTTGTTTCGATTATCGATATCCGTCCTATAATATTCGAAAAATCA